GTTCATCTATTACGAGTCCGCCCTGCATTTCGTATAATGGTACGAAGCTACCACTCAAGCACCTTTCCTGAGAAATAATAAATAGTATAGCATATCACATCGTAATCTTAGTTGTGATATAAAGGGAAATTCCCGCTAAAACCTCAAGTTTGTACTGTAAAAGTCTTCAGGAGGGAAATCGTTTGGTTAAAAAGAGATTCGTAGTCATCATTGCAACACCCGACGTCCAGAGGTTGTAATTAAACTAAAAACGTTCAGGCTTCAATAAAAACCTGTAGCCGTGGCGGTTGGTGGCCGAAAGCATAATTGTCCATAGTAATGATTGTAGGTAATTGTCGAGGGCTACCCTTTAACCCTTCAGAAGGAACGTCCCTTGTGGCGTGCAAGTTATAGGAGACAAACGAGACTTAAAATATGATCGAACTATATAGATTTGTTATAAAAAACAAGCATCTAATATTGCATTTAAAAAAATCCACTATGGGATTTTTATAGGATAGAGTGACAAATGAGCACACAGTTCACCTGATGGTAAAGTGGTTTCTGTGGCCCATAGACATCTACATCTATCCTTGATTACGATTCAAAGTAAGATGGAATGCCTCTTTTCCAGTAAAAAGGGTCTCCGGTTCTCTACACTCACCATGTGAAACACAGCAGTTTTAAGCTGCTATTTACGCTGGTATTCTGTGAGAGCATGGTCCTTCCCCGGTTGAGCCGACCCATTCGTGCTACAACTATACACCTCATGGCTCTACCACCTATAAATACCAAGAAATTTTAACAGCCACCGATAGGTAGCGGTAAATGTTGAACTCTGCGATGGCTATTTGCTTTTCAAGATTGTCATTACTATATATACGAATCTATTATTGTAGTGTGATAAATGCGAAATATAGGTCTTATTCTAAACAGTATTTGTGAAACTGTAAACTCGTGGAACTATCTCCACGACATATTAAATTTTTATCACAAAGTTTCCGCATTATGAGAAACACAGCTATTTTATGCGGTTATTTTGTGGATTTTTCGTGGCACTACATTAGTTCTCTACCACTCGTACCGACTTTTGCCAGAAACATATAATGTGTTGTATCTTCATCCAACAATCGGCAAAAAAATGTGATCCATCTATCACATTTCGTTGCCGATTCTTAACTTGCTAAATCATTGTGAGAATACAAAATCGATATTTTGAAAGAGAGGTGTTTTGTCGGTTGTATACATTATTAATAATGATTTGTATATTAGTATATATTTGTATATTAGGATATCCCTTGTTGTATCCTACTCTATTTTTACTCGGTATGGTAGGGTACTACAAGCTCGAAGTCAGAAGAGAAGTCACTCTCGCTGTGTACGTGTTGAAGGTGATCAGGGGTAGGATACACAACCCGAGAGTGTTGGAGATGGTGCGACTGAATGCGCCTGACGGAAGCGCGGGGCGTCGGCGGCGGCCGTCGTTACTGGCAGTGCCGCACGCGCGCACCGCACTGATGCAGCAAGCACCGTTCATCGACATCAACACTATGTCGGAGCGAACTGATTTATTTTCATGTTCGCTGAGTGAGCTCAGTAAAATGGCATATCATACTGTATCGTTGGCTACACTGTCGAATTAGGGTACTCAGCCCTGTAATGATTGTGTATGTTGTATGTGTGTGTAAATAAATAAATAAATAAAATATTAATAATGATTTAACTATTTTATTAGTCAAATTATTTTAAGCTATGGGCGATATGTATAGAAGCGTTACTCGCTTCTGCTTGTGACACGCGCCTCTGCCCTAATGGCGGTCAGTGCAGGGCCGAATTAAGACAATAATTACTCGCGGTTATGTCCCGGGCGAAATTTCGTTTCGCCTAATACTTTTTATGTTGTCGAGTGTACTATTTGAATGGCACGAATATGTGTTTACACGACTTTTATAGACTAGCTTTGGAGGAGCATTGTACCGAATATCCCATCTTTTTAAGAGGTCCTTCGGTTTAAACTTAATGTAAGTTTTACCAGTTCCAAGTGATAAACTAGCGTATAAATTGTCCTTTTTAATAGTTCGTGTAGTATTTAATAGTGAGCTTTATTTTATTAACTTGTAAATAGAAAAAGAAAGTGAGGTTTGTCGGCATTGTAGTGCTGAAAAAATTATTTTTGTTATTATCTTGCCATTTAAAGTCAATGCTTTAAGTACCTTATCATAGGCTTGGAAGTATAATTTAAAAAATGTTTTCTTGCTTTTCATAACAGACTAGGTACGTATATAACATGTCGTTTAAGTTTGGTAAAGGCAACCATTTGACGAATTAAAATGTATATTGCAGCGTTGACATTTATTTTTTAATTTGCTTTACGAAACAGAATGTAGATATTATTGTATAATAAGAACAATGATTGTTTGGTTAAAAATTACGTGCCAAGGATACAATATAATCACCTATCTATAATTTAAAGCAATTAACTATATTTGATAAAATCTACGCCGTAATATACTTTATGACACTATTATATGGATCAAAAAAATTTAAAAGAAAAAATTTATTGCCGGTGTTTTACCGCATTATGTCAAACTCTCAAGGTCCTGTCAAAGTGACAATATTTGCCGTGGTATTTAATACTAATATGTACCAAAGATATAGATGTCAAGGCGACAATCAAAACTAGCCATTTTCAATCTTACGTCGTTGTAATAGCAACGTTAAACGATGAAATATTCCTTGAATTCTTAATAATTTAGCAGTGTGTACTTTATTACAGACACAATAAAGAGCAGAGTGTTTTGAAAGCCGATTATCTTGTCTATCACGAAATCTCAACTGTCATTATAATAATGACGCAAGTGAACAAGAAATATTCACACTAATACGCCTATTACAATACACACGTGGTGTAGTTGTGTTAGTGTAGGCATGGACGTAAGATTAGAGATACAGTATAGTTCCCAAAAACTCAGATTTGTTTACCTTGCTGTTATCATTATAGGTGAATTACTTCTTATTGCCAAGAAAAAGTTTATTAGCGATGTTTTTTACAATGCAAGATTCAATTTTTTATACGAAATACCTACATGCGTAACGTGTTTACTATCCATCCATCCATTACAGCCTATCAAGTCTGCTGCTGAATTTAGGCCTCCCCATAGATTGCCTCATATGAGCAATATTTGCCATAATTGCCACGCACGCAAGCATATCAGATATGTATCAGAAGGATGCTGCAGCCCATCTACTGTTTCAGTTTCCTTCTATCGCCTCTTACGAGACCCACGGGACGATGTGTGGTAGTTGATACTGTTGCGAGGCCACCATGCAGTAACGTGTTTATATTCAATATTTTTGTCTCTTTTCTGTATTAAAGTGACAGATGAAAAAATTGGCAATGAAATCGCAATACGTCTTATTTACGGTAAGGCCACTACCATAGAGGCAGACGCGATATCTCGTGGTTTCCGCCGCATCTATCTTGGGGCGATACGTATCTTCATGCTTCAGCGCCGACAACAGTAACAATTGATATCTTCCGAAGGTCGACGAATAATACGTTTGCAATGTCTATGTTGGGGGGTGCGTGTGAAAAGCGGAAGCGATTTTCCGTATACATTGTTCTATTTGTTCAATTAATTTTGGTATTTAAAACGTAAAACGAGTCTTAATTTTAGTATGTAGAAGTATGTCTGGGTACGGACCACACTCTTGCCTATCTCTTTTTTCTGTTGCTGGGTTTCGATCTGAAGGGTACAGAGCCAGTACGATTACAGGCTGTGAGGCATTCTATCTTAGTCTTAATGACAACGCATCTGTATCATTCTTTGTTTAAAGTAGGCTACTGACTATCAGATTGATTTTGAGTTTATTCGTCACTTCAGTTTAATTTAAAAAAAACTACCATGAACAAAGCACGCATCCAGTATAGTAGGTACACTACACTAACTGATGAAGAAGAAAAAAATTATCATAGATAAATCTGATTTCTGTTAAGTATGAACCACAATAATGAAAACACTGTTTTTCATTGCTGTGAATATTGTTGCATTTGCTGAGATTTATTGCGTTTTTTAAACGCTACTGCTTAGTTATGTTCACCTTAACCTTACTCCACTCGATCAACCTTACAACGTATATCATTACAGAAAAACAAGCTAATTTACTCGTTAAAACAATGGCATAAAGATTACATTCGTATTGAATTTTATTTCTGGAAATGTAGGTATTAGATCTATAGATAAATTTGATTTTTGCTGTCGAAGTAACTAGGCGGAAAATGAAGAGTTTCGTGCGTACATTTATTTTTTTTAAATCGACAGTATTAATTCAAGCTTCAGACATTTGCAATGTTTAATTGTTTTCTTTATTTGAAACGGTTGACTGCCAGCTACTTTAACAAAAAACTGGATTGTCTATACTTCTACAATAGTTTTATGAATTTAATCAAAAATAATTAATCTATAAATCATTAAACATGACAAAGCGTAAGCTTATAATATAAAAGGATAATAATAGAAAATAATTCTAGAATAAACGGATGGCTTTTATTGTCTGCTAACAATTAGTTTTTATATAATTACAGCTTAATGATATTAACATTGGTATTTCCGTAATTATACGACGTCTCATTAACCATTTGAATAATAATACAAATTCGGAGGAGCGTTTCTCACTAATATTGAATATATAGCTAGGTCAAATCCGTTGAAACGAGTTTATTAATTAAAAATTAATTACTTAAATTTATAATCTTTAGTTAACAGTGGGAATAATCCAATAGAATAGAATATATTTATTTATTAAATAATAATAATTGAAAGTCAATTTTTTGGTTCGGAAAATAACTCTGACCAATAACCAACACCGACAATCCACCCAATATTTTAATTAGGTATACTAACTATTTTCATGTTTAAATAATTAGTATACCTAATTATAGAATTATTTTTCGACGTTTTATATAAGTTAAATAATATTGGTTCGTATACTTTAATAATTACAATACTATTCTATTACAGATCGCGCAGCTGGTAGAAGACGTGCGCCGGCTCCAGGCGTCGCTTTCAGCGCTGCAGGAAGCCCATGCGCAGCAGCTTCAGAGGCTAGAAGAGCGCTTGGACGAGAAAAAACAGCAAATCGCACGTCTCGAAGCACGCCTCGACACGCAGCGTGATTATGACGATATTAAACGAGAGATCAGGTAAGATACGGCTCGGAGGACCATATTTTACAACGTTTAGTCAAATCTAGGTAAATACTAAATACTTTTAATACATATAAATTTCTCGGTGTATGCCTATACATTGTGTTAACTCTTAGAGCATGCATACAAATGATAGTATTTAAAAGTGAAGTAGTGACTCCCTGTAATCCTGAGAGGATTTTAGGGCAGAAATTGGCCGCACTGCTCCAATGCGTTTGTTTTTATTGGATGGGTTGACAAATGAGCACACAGTCCACTTGATGGTAAGTGGTTGCTGTGGCCCATAGATATCAACATTTATCCTCGATTATGAATCAAAATGCAGATGCGTTGTCACCCGTGAGGACTAAGATGAAATGCTTCGTTACCAGTAAAAAGGGTCTCCGGTTCTCTACACTCACCATACGAAACACCACAGAATTAAGCTGCTATTTTACGCTGGTATTCTGTGAGAGCGTGGTCCTTCCCCGGTCGAGCCGACCCATTCGTGTTATAACTACACCAGAAATATAGCTGCAGCATGGCTCTACCACGTCAAAAATAGAACCTTAAAATGTTTCCTATTTTCTCAGATATGCAGGTTTCCACACCAAATTCTTCCCAATTAGCACTTAATAATGATGCACTAACAATTACAAAAATGTTCCATAGCGCGTGGATCGACCTTGACTCGCTCTCATACTGTTAATCTGTATAGTGAGAGCTCATCTCCAAAGACCTATGACGATTTTTTTTTAAATAAAATACTGGCAATGATATTTACATTACTAATATTCCAAGAAACCATTTCTGCTAAGCTTAAAATGCTTGTGTTAGTTCACGATAGTAATTAAATGGCGGATTCGAATCAATATCTTTTTCAGTTTGTGGTTCGCACCGTACCATTAGGCCACTGTGGCTTCATTTGCGATTTCGTAAAAACATTGCAATAAATTGACCGAAACACTTTAAAAACCCGTGGGCGAGTAAGGACTCCAGTCTCACTTGCACCAGTTCTTATCTTTGAAGACATTAAATCTATTATGCTCGTTAAACTTCCATCTGTCATATCACACTGGTATTGGCGACAAATCTCATACTTAACCTAACATTCTGTTAGCAAATGAGGTCAGAAACTAAAAGGATATTTCCTTTTTAACTAAAAAAATTGGCAAAATAAATAAGTTTTAAAAATTAATATACAGGTTACCGTTACCGTCACAGTCGATTAAAGTCCACTGCTGAACATAGGTCTCCCCCATAGATTGCCTCACAAGGGGGATATTTGCCATAGTTGCCACGCTTGGCAAGTGGATTGGCAACCGCAGTTTTTTATTTTTAGTCGTTATTAGGAATACGCTCCTGCCCATCTCCTGATTTGTTTCCCTCTGTCGCCTCTTACGACATCCACGGGATTATATGGGGAAGTGTATTACACCGTCACTGCATGGTTTTATTTCCTATTTAACTATATGTCCTTGTTAACTAAAGAAATTGGTATAAATACTAAGTTTTATAAATTAATAAATAGGATAGGTACGGTAACGGAATAAGAATTCTCATCTTGCAAATGTACTTTTTACAATCAGGAACAAGAAAATGGAATCTTTAAACATAGATCTATATTACAAAATTTTACATGGTAGAGCCATGCTGCAGCTATATTAGTAGTATTGTGTAATACGAATGGGTCGGCTAGACCGGGGAAGGACCACGCTCTCACAGAATACCAGCGTGAAATAGCAGCTCAACGCTGCTGTGTTTCGTAAGGTGAGTGTAGAGAACCGGAGACCCTTTTTACTGGAAATTATGCATTCCATCTTAGTCTTAGTAGTAGTGATAACGTATCTGCATTTTGATACGTAACCGAGGATAAATGTATATGTCTATGGGCCACAGCAACCAATTACCATCAGGTGGACTGTTTGCTTATTAGTCACCTTTATCCTATATACTCGTAAAAAAAGTTTCTATTAATTTAAAATTAATATAGGTTTATTAATAGGGTAACTATCTAAGGCCTAAATATATACAAAGATATAGCGTAAGTACCAGGTAGAAGATTTTAGACGCGCGTTCATAAACTTGATAAGACTATCGGGGCATTCACCCCGTCGCTGTTTGACGTAGATTATAACTGTTTGCTAGTTACCCAACCGAGCCTTGAATATGGTCGAGGAACCCATGATTATACTCTTATTGAACAAGTACATGAAATCGGTGATTCATAATGTCATAGACGCTGTTTGTCTTTCGTATTTTCTTATGTACGTCTGTATCATTGCTTTCGTTATCTAAAAGGGTAGACATAGCTAATGAAATTAATGCTAAAGTTTTTAATTAAAACTGATTTTATAATAACAGTGCCGTTGTTAATTTGTGATATTACAACTATCTTCAACGACGCAGCAAATGCAAATATGAGTTGAAGAGTTTTAATAAAAAAGCGCATCTGACATTAGTTACAAATATAGGCAGAGCACTACAGCGTATTATGCCAGCAAAGTAAGTAAGTCAGCTTGATCAAAAAAGAACCAAGCTCTCAAAGATAAACCAGTGTAAATTATCTCCTTAATATTGCTTTGTCTCATGTGGTGAGAATCGAGAAACGTCATTACTAACAAGGCATTTCATCTTAGTCCTCAAGGATGAAATACCATGAGCATTTTGTTTCTAACCGTTACCATTACAGCCTCTAAAAGTCCACTGCTGAACATGTGCTTCCCCATAGATTGCCTCATAGGGGGATATTTGCCATAGTTGCCACGCTTGGTAAGCGGGTTGGCAACTGCTGTTTCTTTTTATATTTGGTCGTTATAAGGAAGACGCTGCTGCCCATCTCCTTATTTGTTTCCCTCTGTCGCCTCTTAAGACACCCCCGGGATGCCACGGGTTGATTTTGTTTCTTAATAGAATATATACGAGTATATGTGTATGTGGGCCATTGTACCAACTTACATGACAAAAAGAATTTTGTATATATTTTTTTTATTTAAAAATCTTTATTGCACTTAAAAATGTACAATTGGCGGACTTAATGCCTTTAGACAATCTCTACCAGTCACCCACGAGCTAAGCAGAGGAACTTAGGCAGATGCCATAAAAACGAATATATACGTGAATGTAAATATAAACATATACATACTATACTTGTAAATACAAAAATAAATATATATAACTACAAATAAACTAAATAATATACTCTATACCTGATACATAAACATACATAATTTTTAAATAATACATAATACTTACATTTTAAGCATAATATACAAAAACAACTTAAGCATTTTATAATACACTTATGCAGAAACATTTAAATAAGAATATCAGTTGCAAATCTTATATCTAATAGCAAAAACCGATTTAGTTTCAAATCCATTTCAATTTAGAGTATATAGTCATCATTGTTTGAGGGTAGAACAATAGTGCCAATTGTCAGATCTCTCGATTTTGCAATATTACAATGTACAGTTTAAATAAAATTATCGATTGTTTTTATATCTCGCAACACCAGCGTATTGAACTTCGGTCTGCACTCGCACGAGGACGCGGATTTCAAAACAATCTTAGTAATCTTTACACAGTGTCATCACTGAGAACAAACGAGCGGTGTGTGCTATGCGTCGCCTTGTTTGCCGACCCTACCTTTGACTGATAACGGAGTAGGCGCCTCGCTGCAGTTCTGACTATCCACGAAATATAGTACTACGTTCATCTATTTTAATTAGTTCCGTATAAGATGAACGAGAATATTTTATCTCTTTTTCTTTAAAAAAACGTTATCTCCACACTACGATATTCTCTTGTATCGTGGGGGCAGTTTACAAACATCTGTATTACAAGGACAAACATCCAGATCCTGTACAATTTTTTGTAGTCCATACAAATGCTTGTTACTTGTGAGCTTAGAACCCGCGGCTCTTAGCGCTTCAAATCATATGCTATGCTACTACGCCTTGAAGCCAATGCGTAAACAATCCATGTATAAGATGTGTTTAAAATTAAATTTATCAAATGATTTGTTTACGTGTCCAATGGATTGATTAAGATTGTTCCGCTGTTCACTTATATCCGATTATATAATCATTGGTTGATAATAACCCCTGGGAATAAGGTGATCGCTTCCAAGCTGTTTCTTAAATAGGTTTTGCAAGTAGTTTGCATAATCTGTATTTTATTCTAAAATTTTACTTTTAAAAAAGAATTGCCGCTGCGTTGCTTGCTTGTTCTTCCCAGGACAGAGGTATTTTCCGAACTAGTGGTTAGAGTAAAAAAATTACTTTCAATGAGAATTACTTATAGTCGATATTGAGTAAAAAATTATTCTATTCTATTCTATTTAACCGTTTTTTTAAGTGTGTTTCAGAATTTTTTTTTTAGGTAAACTGAATTTGATGATTCTTTTTTTTTTAATTTGAATGCTGGTGCATCAGACTTGGTTCTATATGAATTTGATGCAGATCTATCAGTATAAAATTTGCAACTTTTAAGAGCACGCGTTTACGTGGTAGAGCCATGCTGCAGCTATATTGTAGTTGCAGCACGAATGGGTCGGCTCGACCGCGGTAGGACAACGATCTCACAGAATAGCAGCATAAATTAGCAGCTTAATGCTGCTTTGTTTCGAATGGTGAGTAATAGAGAATCGGAGACCCTTTTATTGGAAAAGAGGCATCCCATCTTAGTCCTCAGGGGTGACAACGCATCTGCACTTTGATTCGTTATCGAGGAAAGATATAGATGTCTATGGGCCACGGCATCCACTTACCATCAGGTGGACTGTGTGCTCGTTTGTCACCCTATAAAGAAAGAAAACAATTAAGAAATTAAAAAGGGTGACAATATTTAAACAATAATAAATGTCTAAAGAGAATAATATAGATGTAGATAGATACAGAGTACCTACATCGTAACACACGGTTTTCAAAAATGTCAAATGTTCAAAATGGCAGCTTACATAATTAGATACTTCTGTAAAAGGAACCGGCTAGGTGTACTCGACACTTTTTTGTACC